TATATATATAATATTATATATAATAATACATATATTTATCGATAAAATCACCGCTCGTAAGTATCCCGACTTTTATCCAGAGCTTATACATATACCTATATACTAAAATAAAATGTTAGAAAATCGTGATTATCTATCTATCTATCTATCTAACGATTGTATTTTGTAAATTTTAGTTAAACGAAGGTTAAGTACTCGTATATATATATATAAAACATATAAATATATAAGAATATACACAGTACTGAAACGTTTTGCATTTCCGGTCCCAGTATGCACGTACACATGGATATTTACGTACGTGTATCCGGTAGGAATATAAGCGACGCGTATTTTATATGTACATATATACTATTTGTATGTTATTTTATATATAAGGGAAATGTTATCACAAGCGTTGAGATTTCATGACAGTAGTGCGATATATAAATACATATATATACAGTATATACTCACACATGTCGCTATAAGTTCTTTTTATTTCCAATCCCTTCTCCTTCTCTTCAGCGATAGCATACTTAGGGGTTGTCTTGTCACGAATCAGACAAGGGAGGGGTGGACTTTGTATTAGAAAACCCCACAACCAACATTAATGCCAAAAACTCTCGACATACAGCAGACGCAGTTTAGTTAAATTAAACCAAAATACGAGAATAATTAAAATTTTTCGTTTCGATTATACAAAATATTGTAATCAGCTATATTTCAATATTATTACTTAGATAATTATGAATATAAATAAAACGATTCGATTTAATTTATATTAATTATAATATAATAGGTAAATTATATATTTAAATAGACCTATACTTTATAACTTAACTCTAATTCATTTTATATGTCCTGTAAATATTATCATGTGCATCTATATAATCTATAATTTAAAAAACAAAAATCGATAAGTTGTGAAAAAAAAAAATATAAATATACAGTGAAAAAGTAAAATAATTTTATAATAAAAGCCACAATCATTGAAGAATTAAATAATATTACGTATTAAAAAATTTAATTGAATGTAAATTTAACTTAATATTATATTATACGATTTAGACACGATGTATGTAATTTTAACGCGAAATAGCAATGCAAAATCGTATGATATATAAAATAAAAAAATGTGGAATTTGCAGCTCTTGACCCAAGTTATACCATAGAATAAATTAAAAATTTAGTTTTACACTCGTATGTGATATACTATTTCACCCATTTGTCTATAATGTGAATTTATACAATGTACCTATTCCTATTTTCTACAACTATAAAATATATTTTGTTTTTAAAAATGTTAATTATAACAATTAAAATGATATCATATAATTTATATATTTGTATATACATACATATATCACATTATATATGATACGGCATATTAAATGATTAAAATAAATATTTATCTCTTTCAGGCACAATGCTTAATGTTGGTAGTTGAACGTTATTAAATACAGTAATTAAAATATGATAAAATCAAAATCTAAGAAAGACACTAACAATATAATAAAACATAAAATAATTAATCTTAAATGAACAATTAATTATTATTATGAATAATATTCAATTTACATCTCTGTATTCTAGATTAAACGTATTAATTAAGTGACTCAAATTACCAGATCAGATTTTTTTTCTGATAGTATTTTTAGATTCTTAGTTATAAAAATATTTGAACCTAGTTAATCTATACATTTTTCACCGAAACATTATAATATATGTAGAGATCTCCATAGTTACATACCACATTAATAAATTAATAATATCGTATGAATGTAAACGTAGTCATATTGGATGGTCGAGTAACACTAGTTTACGAACCACTATTATATACAACACGGCTAAAGCTCCTCCGCCCGGCCGTCGTCGATGTTTTCGACGACGACGACGACGACGACAAGGACGACGTCGGGAGGAGTGGCCTCATGAATATGCATACATCTCGGCCGATGATCAAAATCCCGGTCGGTGCGTACCCCGTTCGCCCATTGGTCTAGCGGGTGGGTAACACGTGAGAGGGGAGGCGGATGATGGTATAAACACAAAGGGACGCGCACGGAATGTTGGTGCGGATAAGGAGGAGAATGAGGAGAAGGTGGTGGCGGCAGTGGTAGTGTACGTGTGTGTGGGTGCAGAATAAGAGCGCGCGTGCGCTCGGAGGGGTCCTGCGTTGGCTTCCTTGTTTACACTGGTGGCGATGGGAGACAGGGATCGCGCAGCTCCCGGGTCGGGGTTTGGCGGGCGGTGGTTGAGCGCGCGATAATTTGCTTAAATTAATTACCCCTCGCGCAGTGGTGGCGACGCCAACCCCGTGACCACCGCCACCACCGACGCATTGCCACGCTGCTTTGTCTATATATACATTTACTATACAACTGCAATATATATATATATATATATGGTATTGCGGTTATTATAAATATATATATAGGTATATGAACTAGTATAAAATAAATAGTATCGCAGATTTTGTTTATAAAAGGTACCTTACGTTGGAAATTACTAGTATGTAGTGAATAATAATGTAATATGGTGAAATAAACAGTATGGATGCAAGCATCTATAGTTAATTAATTATGTGTTCTATTTTTATTCAATCGGTGCTGCAGTATAATAATATCTATATAATATGAGTATACATAGATATTAAATGAGAAGAAAAGTTATTTAAGTCTAGACAAATATGATAATATTATGTATATAAGATGGATTTGTTACATAATTTATTATGTAATATGATGTACTTTCATTGATTTTTTTGTGCCGTCTATTCACATATTTATAAATATATACTTGTAGATGTTAGATATCATATATCATTATTTTTTTGTATCGTATTGGTGACTTACTAATTCTAAATCTAGAACTATATTTATATTATTAATTAGGTATATACCTATACTAATTAAAATAGTATACATAATTATTCTGTTTTAATCACCTGAACTTAAAAAATATAACATAACTACTTACTTATAAAATCTTTGCTTGTGGTATAGCTATATTACAGTCGGTGATAATAATTGATCTAGATGTGGATACATGTTCACATACTTTATGATATGATATTGTTTTGTTTATTTACAATATAAGTAGATATATTTAAAAATGTAGTAATGTACAATTTTAAAGTGGATAAGCTGTTAAAATAATACTACGTGATTTGATTTTATAACATTTAGCGTATATAATTATTACCAAAAAGTTTTTTATATGCAACATTAATATATTATTGAATTAATTAAATAATATATGGTTTGATCATTTTCAAATTTTTGAAAGTTAAATACGAGGTTAAATGAATTATTTTTTTTGCTCCTTGTACCTATATATATATATATATATATATATTATATTTCATAAATATAATTAATATTGTAATAATAATCATATTAATTAATACCTAAGTAAAAAGCACTGTAAACAGTGTAAGTGAATATTTAATATATAATCATATTCAAAAATTAATATTTATAATGACTAATGTGGAGCGTAATATTAAAGTTTAGGATTCCAATACTTGGTCGATAATTCAAGGTTTTATAAAGAATAAATATATCAATTTAAAAGCAAACAAGTTGATATTATTTTTTTAAATATTTTTAAACTTTGAATTATTTTTATATTAATGATATTTAAATAGCAAAATAATTTATAAATGATAGTATAGTTACCGTAATAAAATAATAACCATTTATGCAAATTAGTTTACTAATTTTTAATAATACGATACTGATACAAATTTGCTTCAGTAAACTTAATAATTTAATTAAACTGTGAACTATAATTACCACTTAGTTGAAATATGAAAAACTATTATAGAATTATATTACATAATTAAAAGAGCTACTATAGAATATTATAGGTATACACATATTGTTTTAAATATTGTATCTACTATACCTATATAATACGGTACATTTATTAAGAGAGAGTCACGCTTTTTCATTGTTACAAGAAAGTAGAACGTATTTAAAATTCGATCATGCACTTGCAAATGAATATTTCAAATAAATTATGTATAACACAAAAAAGACACAATACCATGTATACAGTATGTATGTGTAATGTGTATGATGTAATGCCTTGCTACAAAAAATGTATAACTTAATAAAGTATTCATATTTTAAGCCTTAAAGGATTTTGTAAAATACATATTGTATTTATTTTTACTTTTAAAATGTTAACACTCGTTTTTAGAATTATTTAGTATACATATTTTATGTGTATTATTATTTACATCGTAAAAAAATTCAAAGATAAAACGTCAATGATAAAAATACACACAATGTATTGTAGTAATAGTGGCAAAGAAGGTGTTATTATTATTTTTATTTTTTTTTTTCTGAAACTCGATCAATACTTACCAACAATAGCTATGGATATTATTTTCTTATATGGGACACCACAACGTTTCCTCAATTATGCTCAAGGATAAAAAAAACTTACCGGAAAATTTTTTTGTCATTTTTATTATTATTCATTTTTGTCTATCTTCTCCGCCATTTATGTGTATCTAACTTTTCCCCTTCGTTAAAATAAAAAAAAAAAAAAAGAAAACCCGGGAGCAACAAAGTTTCATCGCGCCGTTTGAATATTGTTTTTTAACATTTTTCATTTGTACGAATTGAAATAAAAAACCGTAAGAAAAAATACACGTTTTTATTTGTCATGTCGCTTAACACGTTGACCGCCACGGGGTTTTCACCATGTTACTTATTTTTGCTATGAGATCTAATTAGAAATCTCAACAAATTACTAAAAGTTGGTAGTGAGATCTTATATGAAATCTCACATATAGGAATTTCCCGTCAATAAGATATCGTTCTAGGTCTCAATAATCAGTACTTTATCAACGGATTCTAAATCTACAGTGTTGCCACTTTCAGCTGGTGTTTGTAGCTCGCCAATAGCATTTTTAGTTTTTTTTTTATCAATATTTTAAAATCAGTGATAATGTCTTGTTTGATATTGTTCTAACTGATTATTCACCTTATGAAAAATTAAATAAATGTTAATACGCGTTTTTAACTTTAAGTTAACAGTTAACGATTATGTTACGTTTTTTGTAATTTGTTATTAAACTGACATACATAATTACTGAATTATGAATTCTAAAAGTATAAGCGAGATGCTAGAATCATCTTTTGATTATAGTTCTGTTGACGACTCTGATGATGATCCCGATTGGGATAATAATGTTGAAGTCATGTCTACAAGTAAGTTATTTTACCTACAATATAATGATTTTACGTTGATCAAAGTTACATATTATAATTTTTAAATGTATTGAATTTAATAGGTACTACTTCTAGTACACAAAATAATGGCAGACATGTGAATATAGTGGCATCAGATGGTATTTTAATATTTTTTTTTATAATATTTATTATTCAGTTATTCATATTAATTATTCATTTGTATTTTATAATTTTAAAAGTTGAATTATCCGGAGTCAGTGAAATTCACAGTGATGGAAATGATCCAGATTTTGGTAATGAATTATTAATATTCGTGTTATTGTAAGAAAAAAAAATGTTTAATTAAATTTTTTATTTAGACATGGTATCTCATATAAGTGCATCAACTGATGGTGATTTTACACCAATTGCTCGTGGACAAGGAAGCCCAAGTATTCATACTAATGATCGTCAGTGGAGAGTTGATGATAATGTTGTTGATGATTTTATGTTCAACCCTGATATTGCAAACTCAGGTATAAATCCTGACTTATTTGATGTACTAATGCACGGCTTAGTTTATAAATTTTTCTGTGATTTTGATCTAATTATTTTTTATTATGTTTTAAAATATTAAATACACTGTTATTGTTTGTTATTATCATTCTTATTACTTAAGTTTTCTTAGTCTCCCAATTGTTTTTATATATAATGTTACTATTCATCATAAAAAGTTAAAAGTTTTGTTTTTCATATAACTATATTGTTATCATATAAATGTTTTGTTATAATTATGCAATTTATATGAATAAAGGCAACATAAATTAAATGCACATTGTTTTTATATAATTCCTTTATAACTCAAATAATGTATTTGATGCAATAAATAAATACCTATTTCAGATTTAAGTTTAGTTGAGTAGATTTAACCTCAATTGAAGTACTTATTCAAAGTGAGATTTAGATTGAGATCTCACGGTAATGGTCAAAACATTAATTTTTATAGTAGTGACATCCTACGGCCATGAGATTTAATTTGAGATCTCAGTTTATAATTAAGTTAAACCAAAAGGAACATTTAAACAGAACAATTTTAAATATAGGTACAAATTTTGAATGAAATCAGACAATTTTTTTTCCTTAAATTTTTTTTAGTAAACCTACAAAACCAGCTGTGGCGGTCAGGACAATTTTGATGAGATCTCATATAAGATCTCATGGCGGTCAACGTGTTAACTACAGCGTCGATGACGAGAAAGTTTTTGCGACGTTATCAGCTATTGTGTATTTAATATATATATATATGTATTATATATACTCGACTATAATGCGCAGTGCCGTCATCAGCATGTTCCAGGGATTCAGTTCTAATAACTGTATATAGGTACCTACAGTATGTACGCAATATGTTACGATCGATAAGCATATTTTATATAGAGCGCTGTCGTATTATATGTCTATAATACTTAGGTATATAATATTGTATAGGTAGGTATTTACAAAAATGAGCGTTTGACGTAATGTGTATGAATTAAATAAATGAGACAACCAGTCAAATTATATAGTGTTTATAATATGACAGTGTCACAAGAAATTATGATAGATGTCTTAAATTCAATACTTCAGTCTTCATTTTTCATTTAATATAAAATCAATATCAATTAAATTATTAATAAGCATTAAAAACAAAATTAATGTACCAAATACACGGATTTTTTAACGTTCAAACTTAGTCGTTAGATTAATTTTCTTTACCTTAGTACCATTGAAATATTTGATTTATATTTTAAATGGCCTATCATTTGCTTCTATCCCAGGAAAGTAAGAAACCCAATCAAAATACTCAAAAGGCAGTAGTGCTCAAAAAACAGTGTTGTCGTGACCTGCTGCCTAATTAAATGTATGCCCATGTCATAGTATCTCCGAAGGAAGCCTCTACAATATGTCTAATCTGTCTTTATTTTTATTTTATTTTAGCTTGTTGTACCATAAATTGTTCTTATTGTTCTTTTCGTAACAAATTGAACAAAAATGAAAACTTATAAACAAAAAAAAAAAAATATATATATATATAAATATTTTAAACTGTCTATAAGTGATAATAGCAAATATCGAATAACATTATTAGTATAATACACATAATATTATGTATGTTGTTATTAACAAGAGTAAACAGTTTCAGAAATGTGAATTATCGGACTAAAATTCATAACTAAAATAAGACGTTTCTAATGAAACTCGTGCAGCTACAGGTATACTAGAAATCGCCAGAGGTGTACATTAAGCCATTGTGGGTATTTCAACCCGAAATTAATTACCTCCGGTTGGTTTATTAATATCTACGTGTAATTACTGACATTACTGTCATTACATCGGTTCGGATAGAGGTGGAACCCAATCTTGTCTTAGATGCCTGGCACTTTTTAAAGTCATTAATAAAAATGAAGAATTATGAAAATAGACTGTTGGATGCTTCTGTATGCTATATAACAAAATAACAAAAATTACGATGACGAAAAAATAATAAATAAAAGTAAAAAATGGTCTTTAACAAAAAGTCTCGTCGAGTAGAGGCGGTTACGCATATAAATCACGTTGATGAATGATAATTCCAGTAGTGTATGAATTGATCAATGTATATAATATTATAATATTTATAATATTAATTTCCAACGTTGTACGTCCAAGATAATTCGCTAAAAATAATCGATAATATAAGATATAACATCAGTAATGCTTAACTGTTGTTTATATATATTAATTAAAACCATTATGAACTTACAAGAAAACATTTAATCATGAAACGTTAAAGATATTATTAGGTAAACGGTATAAATTGCAGCTTATATTAGCTAATCACATATGAAGTAAATATCTTTATTCCGTTTTTTTTACAAGCTATATTTTTGTCTTTTAAAAGAAAAAAAACATTTTTTATGTGTTTATAGTATATGTACTATGTAGCTATAGCGTTATATATATTATATATAATATGCGATTATACGTGCGGTAAAAATATTATAAAAAAGTTTAAGCTACGCGTGTTCTCGTAAAATTTAACAACGTCAAATAATTCTTAGTTATCTTTGTGACCTTGTATTGGAGAATGTTGATCAATAACAATTTACAAAATCTCATATTTGATCTCATTTATACATATTATGTATAATATACTTTTATTTTATTGAATTTTTAATCTTTACTAGTATAAAATATAAAATACATGAGTCATAATTTAAAATTACGTTTGACTGAAAAAACACCCTAACATAAAAGTAGTTAAAAGTACAGGGTTTTATCGATTCCGTCGTTTTAATATCAATTTCGCCGGCTATCGATTCCGTCCGGTATTTTGTCTATATTGATTTCGCCGAATATTTGTTTATGTTGGTTATATAAAGTATATTTTTTAATTAACAATACAGGTTACAATAAATAAAAACATTTCAATAAATAATTTATTGTTGTCTACAACGAAAATTATAACACAAGTATGCATATTATGAAAAAAAAACAATTAAGTACAAATTTTAAGTTGATTTATTTTTTTAAATAGTGGTTTGATGCCAGTTTTACATAAGTTAATCTATCAATTTTTTTATTTAAATAATCATCAAAAATTGTTGTTATATATTTTTTTTTTATTTCATAATTTTTATTCTTACTTTGTAAATAATTTACAAATATTCAGAGGATTGATAGCCAGCGGAATGAATATGTAAAAAAATTTAGCGGAGTTAATATGCCGCGCAATTCATAGATTTCTTACAAGTAAAAAGTCATTTCGGTGCAATTATTGATATATGCCCAAAAATACATCTTTTTAATTATTGTATATACATAATATATATTATAAACCATATACTTAAATATTTGCAGAATATATTATAATATAATAACATACAAAATGGCTATACTACGTATAATAAAATTAATATACATAAACGAATTTTAAAAATAATTACGTATCATATCGATTCGCGATAGTAATCTATATCAAATATCTATACTTGTAGCAATCAAGATTATAAGTTTTCTGTCTCGATCGTCACCTAAAGCGCCGCCTCTGTGTGTAGGTGTCGTTTTATACGTCGATGTCGGCGATCAGACTAAAAAATGCAAATATCTCAACATGCATACAATATATATATACATAGATACACACTATAATATTATATACGCACACGAATTGCTGAAGAGACCTACCACGACGCTGTATATCACGCATGGGGAAAGGAAGGGGCGGTCGTCGTGCGTGCGTTGCTAATCGATTTCAAGTACCTCCTCCACCTCTATTCGGAAAGTATTTTATACACGTTAAGAACAAAAATACAGTTACATTTCAACGAAGGGTTAGGATTAAATCGAATCGTACATTTAGAACTCGAATATTATAAGACTTTATAAAATATTATACGTTCGAAATACACGCGTGTGTTTCTATGTACAATTTGTTTTAACTACGGGTTTTTTTTTTTAAAGCCTTAACAAAACGTTACGACGCAAATCGGCAAAATGTTAGGGATAATAGTACGTGGTGATATTTTAGAATGTCGTCGTCATCTATATCAGAATACAATAAACACCTAAACATATTTGGTTTATGTATAAATTATAATTTTATTGTTTATATAGGTGTTAGTTTGGGTGTAGGGTATACCTTGTAGCAGCGGTATTATAGATCCGTCGATACGACGACGTGTTGTCTGTCGATAGTTTTTTTTTTTTTTTTATCATTATTTCGATACATTACATGCAAAGTATTTAAGTATACATATATATATGAAAGAAAAGTACCGCCACTTGCGGCTGTTTAGTCGTAGTGGTGGCGGCAATCCTCTCACTCGGAAGCGGTTGTTTTGCATAATTCATGAATTTTTCATAAGGTTCGTGCACCACCCGCCGGGCAACTGTATACACACTCTCATACGTATATATATATACATATTATGTACAATATGCACTATATACGTATATAGTGTGCGATGTATCCCTGACCGTGTCCGCAGGTTAGCGCCACCGATTTACGCGCGTACGCTGTATATTATAATAATGCATGTACCTTATTATTACATACACACACATATGCTGACATGCAGACGTACACACACGTGTCGTTTTACGCATGCATATTATTTCCGGTTGTTTTGGCGGGAACAACGATCTGGTGTTAACCGCGCATCGTCGAGTGTCTAGCCACCATACATACAATATACATAAATATATATATATATATGTATGTATGTATGTGTGTGTGTGTGTGTGTATGCGATATACGTATACCCAATTATATTATAATAAATATATACTTTTGAACTGAGTTTAGCATATACAATAAATATGTATAACATTATATAGGTAGATTTAATGTCTCAATGGATCAGCTAGCGAAGTGATTTAGATATTAAAACACGCTTCATTGGCCGTATTTACGCAAAAAATGTATGTTTAAGTACTTTTTATGATTTAGATTTCTATAAAATATACAATTATTATTTGGTTCTATAATTTAATACTTGTCACTTAAAATTATTAATATTAAAATTGGCAACTACAACAGCAAGGGTGAGTAAAGCCTTCATATGTTGCATTTAAATATAAATTTAAAACACCCTTCATTAAAAAAAAAAAAAACGTGACTATATCTCTAAGTATTATATTATATTATAGGTACACGTGTTAATCACGTACAGTTTTCATCGTAAAAATTGTACAAAAACG